TGTTGGGATTAATATACTACCTATAAACGTCGATATAATAAGGGCCTATTTACTTTAACTAATTATTTTAAAAGTAAACATCCGTGTTCTGTATAGATTCGTATGATTATATTTTATTGTATTCGATTTTGATTAAAGTTGAAGATTTATTGGTTTTATAATATAGGAAGCTATGTTATTGTATGTTTTTGAAGATCACATTTAACTGAAACAATTATTGTATTTTAATACATTTATTTTATATTATGTTTACAATTATAAGTAAGAAAATATTAAAATACCTATGTATATTATGTTGATAGTTAAATAAGGTTATAACCTCACTAACGTAGACGTTTTTAATCTAATTATGAATTAATTTTTCGCTTTAAACAAAAAATCTTAAAGAATTGAACAAATTGGGAATTATTATCAACACGATCAAAATTATATTTATTTGTTGATAGATATTTGATCACGTATAATACATAAGCATGACACAGTTTGACACAACTCAGAATTTGTGTTACTATATATTGATTTGGCATAATAATATTATTAATTTTTGGATTTGTACTTTTGTTTTGAATAACCTAAGACGTGTCTTTGTAAGCACAAAATGAATCACAATTGAAACTTTTATTTTTGTTATCTTTAGATATTACTTTGGATATTTTAGAACATTTTTTTGTCTTGTGTATATTTTAAAACTTTGGCAAGAATGGATGCAATTCGAAACAAATTTACCACGAACTATCCCAGTCGAATGTCAATTAGTATCTAATAATAATTCAAATACAGCATCTAGGATATGTATAAGTGTACCGTCGTGTGTATATATATATATTATAATATCTAGGCCACTATAAAAAATGTTTAATTTTATTGAAACATGTTCCGACGATGTACATAAAATGGCCAGAGTTTGTTTCAGTGTCGTCCATTAAGATTTGAGACGGAGCCAGACAAAACAGAGACGGATGTGAATCAAAAAATGAAAATCGTATTTATCGCTTGCGGGAGGACAAAAGAATAGTTGGCCAATAGCAATAACGTGTGCCATATACATTCTTGTCGACTAGAGCATTATTTTTGAAATGAAAAAAAAGTGAAAAAATACATTTTTGAAAAGAATCCACATAATAAATTACATTAAAATATATAAGTTTTAAAACGGTAATCAATACATTCTCTTGATAGACCTACGCCATTTATATGCGAAGATTGGTGTTCTATTCGTGATATATTTTCTTAAAAAAAGATCTTTAAATGGATTATTATTATTTTTATTTTTCTATGTTATTTACAAAATGTATTTTATCGATTTAAGTTCAAATCGCAAGATAAAATATTTAAGTATAATATGTCAAATATTTACTGATAAATATTTCTAAATAGTCATAATACACGAAGTTTCCTGAAACAATAATGTTATAATATGCTTGTAAAATACCATATAGTTTTTAGTACTTATTATGTATTTGTAGAAACCAATAGCCAGTATAGGATATTAAATACGTATTTAGATGCAGCAAGAACTATTTCATTTTAGCATAATATTAGTTTTTTCTTTAATTCTATGGTTATAATGACTGTACCACGAATAAGTATAAATTAAAGTAGAAGACCTTTTAAAATACGGTATCAAAAGAGATATAATATAATGTTTTTGACAAGGGAACAGAGACAAATTTAAAAATAAAAAATAATCAAATACAGAAATATAACGTTTAGTTACAAAATCCGAGGGAAATAAAATTTGTTTGAATAAAATACGTATTTAGACTTCAAAAGAATGTCGAGTCGTTAACGTAAAATCCGAACATTCCATTTTTAACAGCTAGTCTACTTTTACTTCACGTTCAGCGTTTAAAATGGAATAATGAACTCTCATAGTTTCATCATTTTTGTACTTTTTTTTTCTGTATTTGTCGTCGAGTCCTTATAAAATATAATAATAAATTTCATGCAATAAGGACTTTTACAATATGTTACAAAACGTGGCTTAAATCAAAATACGTGTTTCTACAGCACCGTAATAATTGTCGCGAGTGAACAGAGAATCACTGGTACGACATCGAAAGGAAGATATGGAAATGAGTATATCGATATAACATTTTATTCAGATAACAAAATACAGTATTCACAACCACAACGAGCTATCTTTCTAATACTTCTAGTGCAGCTTTTGCTATAACATACGGTGATACTGTGATAGGTGTAACGACGATATTTCATCATTCGCTATTGTACTTGCATAATATAAATGCATTTAAAGACCATTGAGTGAGCTGCGGGAGGGGGGATATGCCTATTGCGCGTTGCCATTGTTATTTATTCTAAAGGGTCTCCACTCCCCATACTATATATATTAAACGTATGTGCCGTACTTAGCATCACAAAAAAAGACACAATATTATAATATTATGTATAAAGTTGTTGTGCTTTAGAATAATCGTCTTATGAAATACCCACGTATCGATAAATACGAGTGAGTATTCAAATACACAAAAAAAAAACATGAATTAGTTACGCAATTACTCGCAAGACCATCAAAACAGAAAATGTTTAAACCAAAAAAATCAAAAATACTCATCTTATTTAAATAACAAGAAAACGAAAGTAATAAGATAGAAATAATATAGTACAAACAATAATTCATTTATCCCGCCATGTACTGTTTTGTACACAATTCGAAGTCGTTACTAGCAAAATTATGTGAAAACAAAAATTATTATTTTCACTACTCACTTTTTTAACCGTTATACAGTTGTCGAGCCTTATAAAATATTATTATATGTTGATAATGATAAGAAAATAGTAAAAATAAAGATTTTTTATTAGAAAAGTGTTGTCTTGAACCAATTCAAATTATGTAAAAATAAAATTTTTTAATTTTTTTTAAACAATGTGTGTCTTACTATAGTATGGTTGTAACGAGTCATCCTTCGTATTATCATCATAGGTACAGGCGTCAGGCAGTGACGCCGAATGAAATTAAAAGTGTCAGTTCAAATAGTTTGATTGACCCTACCGCCGCCCCTCCAGACGACTCTGAAACGAGCTCAACTATTTATATTTAAATTCATTCAATGACATTTCTGTGTTCGATGAAATTATTGCAGATAGTATGCATATACTCTATTATTTTACCCACAACCCACTCGATTTTCAAGGCAGTGAACGACCAGAGGTAAGCGTGTCCGTCGCCACTGAGTAAAGCTGGTGTATACCTATTTGATTTTAACAACTCTCTTATTTTCACACGATAACAACAATACACAGGTAATAACGCACAGTTCGCACATTTATTTACACGGAACTTTCATTTTTCATTTGCGGATTATGCAAAACTATCCGTGATAATATTATTATGCAACTACGCTGGTATTATTCGGTTGTGTTTAGATAACGAATACAGCGCGTTGTAGGTTGATTACATTTCTTGCGTGTGTGTGTGATGTGCGTGTGTGTGTGTGTGTGTGTGTGTGTGTGTGTGTGTGTGTGTGTGTGTTTACACGCTCTATAAAACAACATGTTGTAGACGTCACGACGACTGTGCATAAACGCATACGACTGTGGGTGGGCACGAACTGCAGCATCGTGGATCTCTGACACGAGGGTTGTGGACCTCTGGGGGACCGCGGCTGGCTATTACAGTGATATATGACAATGTTGACGTGTATCTGATACGGATGCAGTTGGCTATGCAGTTGACACATAATAATAATACGACTGTACTCCGAAACACGACCGTAAGGATTGCGATGCACCGTAATGTAATATTGAATCGTTTTTGTTATTATTACCGTGGCCGTAGTGCAATAAATAATAATAAAATATAATATCTGTTAGGATGACCTAATTATTAGATAAACAATATATTAGCATGTGTATTTTTCCATTCCAATAGATAAATTTGCAGTCGAACGTGTTATTAGGTTAACCGAGCATAGGCGGGATAATGATGTTAATATTTTCACGACGCGTTCACACGTTAGAAGTGTAATCTAGTTTTCCGAATATTATTTATATCCGATAAACGATACGACGTGCACTTAACAAGATCGGACGAGAGGTTCGTTATAAAAGTAAATAAGTACAGGCGAGAAAAAAAATTTCTCAACTATTTTAAACGTCAGAGCTTTTTTTTATTTTTCCGTATTACATTCTTAACGGTCCTAACTCGACTGAATCTAATAATATCTCATTCTTAACTTTTTTAAGAACTAACCTTATCAATAATAATTGTATCACACTCGTACTATATGTGCCTATAATAGAGTGCCGTGCGCCCAAATTAAATCACGCACAAAATCGAACAATTCGGATTTATTTGATAAATCAATTTTTCCGTATATTAATCTTCCAGTTTCGAGTTTAATACTGTTTTCAAATATTCAATCGAAATGGTTCAGCAACAAAAAAACGTACTCGAGTTTAAAGATTTATTATATTTTAAGAACGTAAATACAACCTTTAGAATATTTCGTACAATTTTATATCTTACAGTTAGCATATTATTAAAACAATGCTAATATGGGTTCATATAAAACTCCAAAACACAATATTATCGATTATATGGTAACCGATATATTATTATAATAAAAATGAACATTCAGTACCTACTCAAAATGGTGGGTAACGTGAGGGGGAGGCGGAGAGCCCCCTTTTTTAAAAATATATCTTAGCGTATCTTTTTTAATATTGTGTCCTAATCAATGATAAATTTAAACATTCGGGTAGGTATTCAAATTTTTTCTATATTTTTGCATAACGTTTCTCTTTTTTTTTCCAACTCAAGCATCACTGTACACATAACAATATAACATTATACACTACAGGGGCGGCCAAACGGTCGATCGCGGACAATTTTTAAGTCGAACATGTTAGAATTTATTTTTAGGGACACTCGAACGAAAATTAATCACGGCTGTAGTGAACACATTGTCGATAAGTTTTATTTGTATAATTAAAAAAAATGTTTCTATGAAAGTTGATCACGATTGTATCTTGCTTACCTTTTAACACATTGTCCAAGTACGGTAATCTATCCAGCTGGTCGATTGTTACTTGTTCCTGATGCTCACTCAGTACGCCGTCCAAGTGCTCTCTGAGATGATTTTGGATATCTTGGTCGTTGGCTAACTCGTACAGCGCACCCGTTACTAGTGCCGCCGTCTGTTCTATAGTGCCCGTCACGAACTCGAACATATCTAATCTCACTTGTTTGTCTGCAACATCTGCGGGAAAATATAATAAAATAGAGTATTAGAGTATAATACGACCGGCTTGCTTTTGCAATAGTTTTAAATAGTGGATAAGCTTGTGTATACACTACACAGAGCGATCCGTTAAGCATGCTCCATATTTTAATCTTAAATTATGTATGTATTTGTACAAATGTCGGATGGTTTTTTTTTTTTAAATCGCTGTCGCGTCTTAATCGGTTTCTATTAAACTTTATGAGCTAAAGATAAATATACGATTTTCCGAAAATCAGAATGTGTACAAACGCATAACTACAAGAATAAAATATGCGATTACTTGTTTGGTGATTCACCCAGTACTATAGTACATAATATATGTACTCTGAAGGCGGTTCGATGAGAAACGAGAGGGACAATATTTTCAGGGCGTTCAGTAAAATGGTAAACTATCCCTTATTTGGCTCAACGAAAATATATCCATTTATGTTTTTTTTTCAATTGAATCTCCATTTACACACAACGAAAAATTGCTAAATGTACCAAAAACACGGCTTTCCGAAACTAAGGGACGTGGGAAAACGCACACACCTGGCAATTGGCCAAACTTACTTTGATGCAGTTTTATATAGATGAAAGAGTGTGTGGTCTGCTTGAAGAGATCGTGATTATCAAGAATGTCGTTAAAAAAATATATTTTATAGAACTATGAGTCTGAGAAAGTTCTGGAATATACTTATATATTATTATTATTATTATCATATGATAAACGAGCCATTAAATCTTAGGGTTATTCATAAAAAATAACCTCAAACCGTGCTATACCATAATATAGATTATTGTTCTTGTTAAAACATGCCGAAATAGTTTAGTTTGTTTAAAACTCGAAATAAAAATATTCATAATAAATGAAGCTATTTTCGTGACTTATCGTGGTTAATAAACTTAAAATACTGCACGTGAATAACAAAATAAACTTTATTTCCCATATACACATATACATATATATCAATCTTGTAACGCGGTAACCGATCAAACATTACTCGCATAAGCTGCCTAACCTAGAGTGGTGACTGATGGTATACCTAACGTTTAAGACAGACACATGAACATGTGATAAAAATCTAGTACCTCGCAAACATTATAATGTGATGTGGATTTTAAATATTTACTTTTTAGTCGTAGTACCAATAGTGTAGTCACAGAAACGAATACAAATATTTTTGAAATGTCATGCTTGAAAATATAACGACGCACGCAATGAGCGAAGGAGAACTCTTTTCCAATTAAAAAGTATGAATTTAAAATTATTATGAAGTAGGTATCCAATTGGCTGAAATAACAATGGTGTCTGCCGTCAAACAATTGCTAAAAATATAACTTCCTGTATATTTTATAAAAGAAAATGTTTGTAGTGAACTCGTTTAAACTTATTTTTCAGTTTTTTAGTGCTCGATCAAGATGGTATTTGACGAGAACACCGCGTTGTTTTTCTGTAACACGGTATTTAGTTAATATACAAATTTGAATATAATAATGAATATAATGTCAAATGTTGTTTGAGATGTTAGGTACACTGTATATACTCAGTTGTGATGTAATATATAGTAGTTAATTCTTGACAAGCGCACCTACTTAACTTTTTACGAATTCGAAAACACTCTAACATCTGATACGGTACGTAGCATTATTATTTTACTTTTTTTTTACTTCAACATTACTATTATTCTACGTCATGAAAAAACCTCATTTGTTTGTTACTAGAAAATATTGCGTTATAACTTAATTTTCATGCTCGACTCATTGACATGTGGCGTGCAGGTTTTTCTCTCCATACACATTACTACCGAAGACATTTGTAGTTTACAGTAAACTCTGGTTAGTTATCGTTGTTTCAGTAAATTGTAATCCCGAACAAATGATTTTGTTTTATTATATAAATTTGAAAAAAAAAATATTACCATTAATAATTATATCCTTAAAAAATTGTAGTGTACCTTACACAGTGTTGTGGAACACAAACGGTACGTTAACATTCACACATATATACAAATAGTTTACGTGTAAAGGCAGGCAAGAAACAAGTTCATCGAAATCGAGCGACACCGGTATTCTGTATGAACCAAAGTAAGGAGGAAGTGATTTTACATTAACAAACAAAGGGGCATTCGGTGTACTACATACCAGGATCAAAACCAGCATAATATATTATTATACCGGAACCGATACTGTTAAATTGCATGGCATCTACGACATACTATACTCAATAATAAACCGATTCAGACCAATCCCAAACAAATACCAACATCAACATCCTTCGGCCTTTACATTAAACCAATACATTCCTAAGGTCCAGCCAGGGGCTTTCTCGCATCTCCTACCAATTAGGGTCAAGTTGAAACATAGTTTGAGATCGTAGTCACACGTCACATAATATAAGCAAAACATAGATCTTTCACACTTGATTTTCAATAATGAAACCACCAAGAACATGCACTTGAACACTCTGATACTGTTTGAAAACCAGGGTTCTACCAGAGACAAAGACCCGTGTTAAGACCAAACAAACGGGCAAAAGACAGGATCCATAAAATTGTAATTTTTCTGGCCAAGATCTGCATGCCTGCTATTAAATTTCGAATCCGGAAAAACGGTCAAAAACTGTTATCTGGCCCGTGCAGTGACGACAAAGAGCCGCCTTGAAGTCGACCGTTACTGTCAGTTAATATTTCAGTAGCATTTATAGATTATTACTAGATTTGAATGGCGATCAACCGAGGAGTTCTTCTCCTAATATTATTATTTTAGAACTTAGACTGTGGTACACGCCTCTATAGGATACAACTACGCAACCATCGTTATTACGATTATCCGACGCTCAACGTTTGACATAAAACTGAGATCTATATACTGAGACTATAACCATTAGAAGCAACGATACTTGACCGGGTGTGGTTTCCGATTACTGCCACCATAGAAACCATAATATATACCACTGATAACCAAGGGAAAATCGTAGAACAGTCCATAAGCGAACAGCATTGTTGATCGCCAACAATTCAATAAAAAATGAACCAGGAATGATAGTGCAGTATTATTGAAAATCTACTTGTTTTTAGTTTTTACGGTGATGCTTTTTACAGTACTATTTGGTTTTCTAAGAACATAACATTGTTTGTACAACTAATAGCGATGTGTGCATTGCTTCAATCAAAATGCAGAACACAGAATTAAATGCAGAATCGGATCGAAATCTGAAAAAAACTTAATCAACTACTTAATATTTTATTTTCAAGCCTTAAGAGTTAACATTACAAATATTATGTATTATTATTTTAATATAAAAACGAGAAAATACCAAAATTGAAATTTCGTTGATCTATTCTAAGCTCCAAAAATATTACAATTTTACGAAAAAGGGGAGAAAAATATACCAAACAATACTCATAATACAAATATTCGTTGATATGACCGGGACTTGTCTAGAACTGTATCACAACTAGTGACAAGTTGTAATATAATATACAAAAAGTTTTCCCCTCCGCCGGGAATAGAACACGGGACTCTTACTAAGATTTCGAAGAATTATTGCCTTTGGAAAAAAATTCTGAAAAACTATTTGGACATTTTAAGAAAGACTTCCATCCACCATAAAAGCCTAACGGGTGCGAGGGTTGATATGTTATGAAACTTTTAGAACACCTCCACTCCTCGGGTCCGAAAAAAAAGTGATTACATACCGAACAACAGAAAACCGTGATACTAGAGTTTGATGGGCCTCTGGGACGGTAATCTGTACATTTGATACCCGTTTTACCCTCTGCAACGATAAGAAGATCCATTCGAACAGTATTTCGACGAGAGCTCGACTACAACTACCTATATATTAGTTAAATATTTACAATACGTATTTAAACTTTAATGACTGGAGTAGTGCACTGAAACGCCTTGCGGGGTGTGCGTCGCTCAGCCACTTATCTAAAATTTAATATTTATGAATAATTATATCAATTATTTGTGCAGTGTCGCAGTGTGCCACCGATTAATCGACCTGAACGTGCACGACTCGCACACGCTGTCTAACAATGCCTGCTATCGTGCAGGAACAACGGTGTTTTCGTTTCCCGACAATAACTCCGCATAAATTTCCGTGGAAAACGACTACTACGGCTGATAAAAGAATATTGCCCTGCATGGCTGCATATCGTTACGCGGGAGAAAATAAAGAACTATTATTTACTGTTTCTCGTCGTGATAATTGACATCGCATGCAGTTCAAATCGTCGTATATGTACCTATGTCGTTTGTATATTATTGTTGTTTGCGCAACCGACGAACCGTTTCTCGTCCATTCGGGTCACGAACCACGATATTGTGTACAACTACCTGTCTATAGTTGGTATACCTATGATATATCCGTGCGTGCGTATCAGACGAGTCACTGCAGCACTTGCGACACACTAGTATGAAATATTATTATTATATTATTACGCTAGATATACCTTGCTGCTGACACCGGGGGAAAGAAAACAAAAACGTACTCTCAAATATTGTTGTTTATCATTTTTGTCGTTATTTATATTGTACGTCACATAACGTTACAAACCGGTCCACGCGGGCCGTACGTGTATGGTAATGATGGTAAAAATGATTATTAAATTATAATAACATAATATTATTACGTAAACTTTTTACAGGAAAAATAAATAGGACGATAACAAAAATATAATAATTTATACTTATAAATAATAACTAATATAGGTCCTATATACACGAGCAATAAGCATATTATATATTATGCAGGGTGATTCGCCAAACATGCTCTACTACATTTTTGCCTTTCATAATTAAATTGTTCATAGATTCTGACCTAACCTAACCTGACCTTGGAATTATAAAATATAATATATTTTTAATTCTTGATATTTTTCGTACTACATGAGAATTGTCTTGTACTACTGTGGCAGCTGTATAAACTTCTGTTTTTCAAAAAAATTATCCACTAAATATTCTACATACAAAAATGGGGGTTCTTA